CTTTTAAGAATCCAAACCTCACCCAAAGAGCAAGGCGGACCCAAGCACCAACTCTTGTTTTCCCTATTTCCTGTGGTGAGTCTTATGCCTTTGCTTTTAACATGAACATTATTATGAATAAATATGTAAAATAGCCATCTCCTATGTTCTAAAAATAAAGACTTAAAGTCCTTTTAAGTTGCTTTAATAGTTTATTTTTTAATGTTGTCCTTTCGGTTTAATCAGCGATGTCATAACATCTTGTCTACAGTCAATTTAAATCTGTTCATTTATTTGTATCATATAATGCGATTTATCTATTGAATTTTGTTTTTCATTAGCGGCATGAGAGGTTGATTCCATTGTAGCAGGAAGGGCTAACTCTTAAGAAGCACCTGATGCACTCAACACGGCTGAATTGAGGTCAATTTTCGGTTTATAGCGTTATGTACAATGCAGTCCTTTCAATATGATAACAGAATTTGGGCATATATTTAAATGATAAGCAAGCCTAAGACAATATTAAATAAATGACATCTGTAGGTCAGCATACAGTCTTATGTCAAGCTCTAGTCGAAAAAAGGTTGAGAATAAATTATTCAATGGCTATAACAGATCTTCTTTATTTTCCACATACTAGTAATAAAACATTAAAATATGACAACAGTTAACAGCAAACGAAGTTTCTAACGTGTGGGTTAACATTTTTTTAGGACCTCCTCCTCCCCCCTTCTTTATTCTCGATGTGTTGATTAACAATGTAAATCTGTACCGGAAAAGAAGTTCACTCTATATTAAAGTATAATAGATAACAAAAACAGAATAACAAACAAAATAGAAATGAACTATACAATTTCAAAGAATGCTCGCAGTTATTGAACTTCAGACATAAAAGAGACATAAGTCAAAAATAGACTGACAACGCCATGGCAAAAAAAAAAGATCAAAACACAAAGAACAGTATACAAAGCACAACACAGAAAACTAAAGACTGAGCAACACGAACCCAACCAAAAACTGGGAATGATTTCATGTGCTCTGGAAGGGTAGGCAGATCCTGCTCCATATGTGGCACCCGTTATGTTACTCATGTTAGTAAAAACCCGATGATAAGTCTAATTCGGTGGTCAGATTCGGAGAAAAGGAGGACGGGATTGTGGTTACGACGACTGGAACATATCCGTCGTCATCTGTGAAGCAGATATTTCATAACGGTCAACCAACTCGTGATGGCGTCCGTAAAATATCTTAAGCAATTATTTCAACTCCCCCTTGGAACTCTTGGTTTAATAGTTTCCATGTGATACCAACCCTCTATCAAAGAAAAAAAAATCATGAAGGGAAACGCAAGCCCTGGAATATTGTATTATCTGGGAGATATGTACTCCATATGCAGGTGCTGCTGGAATGTTGTTAATAGAAATGGAAAGTTCACAATTGGGAAGCTGAAATCATCTCTTTGTCGTAAAGTTTTGTTCTTAATCGACTCTCATTTTCAATAACTAGATAAAAGTCAAGATATGAGGCACACTTAACTGTTATGCTTGACCTTTCAGAGATGTCCACTTCATTTATATTATTATTAAGCAGTGCGTTTTTATTAACTGTCGGTGCTGAGATATGACTGTCAGTATGGTAGGTCAATAAGCAGAGGTTGCGAAATAGGGAAAATATAACAGTAAACTTGTGTATTGTACAATGTATAATACGGCTTCACGAGAGAACTAAAATATTAAGAATTGGAAATCGTTATACCTTTTCAAGAATGTTATATTTTTTTTACATTTACTGTCTTAATTAAGGGCATACGATACAGTAGAGATCCCTCGTTGATTTTTTCTTGAAATTTTGGTAGAAGGTCAATTTCGATGTGTACTTTTGAAATATGCAAAGAAAAATATAACTTCATGACTTACTTTTTGAGATATTTTGGTTCGAAATTTGCATATTTGAAGGAAAAACCCTGAAATTTCATAAATAAGGACTTTTAAGGAAAGTACCAATACTTTTGAACGAACAGTCATAATTTGACCGGGTTTATTGTAAAATGTTCCCTTGATCCATGGCATCAGCATGCTGTAACAAGTTAACGGTTGAAATAAATAATTATATCCTAAATTCTTTTAATACAAGTGAAATAAAGAAGTGGAAAATATTTTTGCGTCTACACAGAAGTGCAGAAAAAATTCTATCGTTGATTTTTTCTTAAAATTTTGGCGGAGCGTTTTCGAAACAGAACTTGATCGATTGCAAAAGAAAAAACTGGGGGTCCATGTGCTTGTTTTTTCAATAAAAGCAATAAACCTTAATTTTTATTGGCAAATGGGACGTTTGCCAATAAGGCGCCAAACTACGTTGGGATAAGTTTTATTCGCAACAACGTCGTGAAATCTTTCCCGCCGTTCACTATACTACGTTGTCAATTTCAGTGGTAGAGCCAAGGTGTTTTTTTTTAAACCAATGATATTAATCATGAAAATTAATAAAGCTGGCTCCTCGTAAAATAGCATCATATTTGCCAAACCTTTATGAATTGTTTCGAAACTCGGATAGAAAAAGTATTCTAGTAATATAAAAGAGGGACGAAAGATACCAGAGGGACATGTAAACTCATAGATCGAAAACAAACTGACAACGCCATGGCCAAAAATAAAAAGACAAACAGACAAATAATAGTACAGATGACACAACATAGAAAACTAAGTCTAAGCAACCATATCTCACCAAAAACTGGGGGTGATATCAGGTGCTCCGAAAGGGTAAGCAGATCCTGCTCCACATGTGGCACCCGTCGTGTTGCTTATGTTATTACAAATATAAAGTAAGGGGGATGATATTAATCATGAAAATGAATAAAGCTGGCTCCTCGTAAAATAGCATCATATTTGCAAAACCTTTATGAATTGTTTCGAAACTTGGATAGAAAAAGTATTCTAGTAAATTACTTTTAGAAAAGAAATGTTCGGAAACAAAACAGATATATATAATAAAAAAAAATAATTTGCATCTCTGTCCGACATTAGTCATACAATTCATGTAGACAACACAGCTTGCACATAGTTTTAATTATTCAAAAGGCCCCGACATGACAAAATGTGCAACAATTATAGAGTAAGGGGGATGATATAAACATAAGGACATTTGGTATGATTGCAAACTATCAACCATAGTTCAAATGACGAAGATAAACGCTATTAAAGGTCACCATACGGCCTTCAACGCAAAAAAAAAAAAGAAAAAAAAAGCCACACCGTATAGTCAGCTTTAAAAAGCCCCGACATGAAAATGTGACATAATTCAAACTAGAAAACTAACGACCTACTCTATAGGCATTACATGAACACAACATCATACCCACACTAAATCGGGTCAGCTTAGTCAATTACAGTGTAGTATAACATTTCATACAGCAGTCGATATTAGAGCATGAAATTTAATGATTCTGTATCAATAGATAAGTTACCTAAGCTTGTCTTCAGGGTATTTTTTTTTATTACGGTACATATAATCATTGAATTACTTGTCTGTATTATACCTTCAATCTAGGAGTGAGTGCAACCACATTGTTTGTCCGGTCCAACAAATATTTTGTTTCTTATCTGAGAAACTACTTTACAAAAAGACTTCGTATTTGGTCAGTAACTTAACATCAATGAGTTGCAACTCTGGTCTGTCAAATACCTAATTCCTGTGTGCCGATTTTTCTCTCTCAATATGTACAAAGAGGATATGCTTATCACATCAACGGGTGCGTTTTTGTTTTTGGTCTATAATACGGGGCTTATAACTGAGTCATTTTAACTGACAATTCTTCTTCATACACTTATATATTCCACGGGTTAAATTCTAAAAATGCCGTTAAACTCTTTAATGCACCTTTTCAAAGTCAGGAACAGTAAGATGCGCTGTCATTATTTATTTCGTTTTTTTGTCATTTTGTTGATAGTTTCTGATAAATTTATCCGTACAATTCTCATTACGACTTAGAGTTAGCCAAATGGTGAAGTTACTATATAAATTACTTATGGTTTTTTTTGTGCACTTGGGTTTCTCTCTCATCGACGTCTTATGTTTTTCATATCTCTAATTCATTTCCTATATGAAATAACAGACATAGAAAATTAAGAATGTGGATTTGATTTTTTTCCCATTTGAAGTTAATATTGTTGACTTCCTTATTAATGAATCAATATAACAATTCTCGTGATTTGGCCGATTTTCATTGCAGGTACTTTTTTCAAATTCGCGCAATCGGGATTATGACGTCAGTGGATTTCCGCAAATGTGACTACATCTTAAGCGACGACGCGAAATGTAATCGTTCTTATTAGAAACATCGCGAAATTACAACGTTCTGATTAACAACGTCGCGAAAACAACACGAAAAGTTTTGAAAACGTTATTATCTGCCCCTGCTACTGTATCGTATGCCCTTAACATGAAATATTTTCTAATGGAACTTAAATCACGCAACGTCTCGCGATGACAGTTGGTGCTGCTACTAAAAATGTCGAATGAAAAGAAGAAATTAAATATTGATTATTGTTTACTCATCATTATATTATATGCATAATCATTATATAACATGCATATTCATTTCTATAACATGCATGTTCATTATCTAACATGCATTTTCAGGGTGACTATAAATTGTACAATAAGACGTTGAGCTAGGTCTTGTACAGATAGTGTAATGAGAGTAAGCTCACTGCAATGGGGCATATATATCATAATAATAAGGAATTGATAAGTTGAATAGGTCACGCTAAATGAGTTGTTTCAAAAGTTCACAAATGATGGGAGAGGTTCACTGTTTTAATGAAACTATATGGCCATGTCCCCGTTACAAAATAAGCTCAAACTGACCAGTTCAGTTGACCAATTTAAATTATTTGTCGACTAATTGTCCTACTTAAACTTTAGAATAAGATAAATCTTTTTTTCAATATAACTTACCCAGTCGACTAATTGTCCTACTTAAACTTTAGAATAAGATAAATCTTTTTTTCAATATAACTTACCCAGTCCCATTTCAAAACACAGACAACAACTAAAGCTATCTCAATTACCAAGATGACACCCATTGCTGCAACATACTGAAAAATATAAAAGTTTGTTCATGAATAAGTAAACATTTTTTTTATATTATGGTTGGTATAACCTAAATGAAGAGTCTTTATAAATTCATTTTAATTTTCCTGCTCTATACAGACCACTAGGTTAGATATTCCATTATCAACACGTGTTTTTAACATTTAAGATAGGAAGATTCTGTAGAATATAATGAAACAGGACTTAAAAGTTACGTAAATACCTAGATATATGTCTTTAAAATGTTATAATTGTAAAACTGAAATGTACATTGTTGTACTGAAATAACCGTGGATCAATGTTTCGTTTAGTATTTAAAATGAGTATCGTGTTAATTCGTTATTTTGATGAAATCCCTATAGATTGTAAACTTATTTATAGCGATTTTGTTCATACGTTGGCGTTTTCTTTTATATTTAATTACCTTTTAGATTTCGAGTAGGAATTGTCACATGTATTGCCAAGACTAATAGAATTTACCTTACAAAAGACAGTATTAAAATTCCATTCGCTTATTTTGTTAAAATTGAAGTAAAGGACGACATTAATAGACCTAAGTTCTTTTTTTTTTGAGAATTTGGTGTTCAAGGCAGGTTTGTAATTCTATGTCAAAAATTATTCACAACTTGTTTAGAGTCTGGCGATTTTGAATTTTATCTGTTACGGATAATAGTTATTTTTGTTTAAGGCGATATGCTGACCACTATATGTCTATTGTATTGGATTGAGTTGTTAGGTTTCTATCTCATTGACGTGTGCCTCGAATCTTTTATTTATTACTTATTGAAAAGACGAGCAATAGTCAACACATTATTACTAATAATATTAAAGATTTAGCAAGAATACCGTAACTGATGCCCGATGTTGAACTAGGATGCTCAGGAAATTCATCATATACAAAAAGATGTGGTATGATTGCCAATGAGACAACTCTTCACAAGAGACCAATTGACACAGAAATAAACAGCTATATGTCACCGTACGGCCTTCAACAATGAGCAAAGCCCATACCGCATTGTCAGCTATAAAAGGTCCCGAAATCACAAAAAAATGAACGAAAAACAAATAACACAGCAACAAACGACAACCACTGAAGTACAGGCTCCTTACTTGGGACAGGCACATACCTACAGAATGTGGCGGGGTTAAACATGTTAGCGGGATCACAACCCTCCCCCTAACCTGGGACAGTGGTGTAACAGTACAACATAAGAACGAACTGTAAAAATCAGTTGAAAACGCTCAACTCATCAGATGGATACAAATAGAAATACATATTACAAAAACACGTGTCATGTCTGCTATAATTGAAGCACTCGTCATAGTACTAATGACAAGTAATCATTTAGTGACAAGTCGTATGCAATGAAAATTCATTAACAAGAAAAGTAAAAATAACTTGATACCAATGCCATCTGTAAAACAGATATTCAGATACAGCAAACTAATCAATGATATCTTCACCAATACTTCCAATAATGAAATAATTTCAGTTTTGACTTGGTTCATGAGCAAATTGGTTTGAGTTATCTGTCGAGGAAATCTTGAAAGGAAACACAAGCGTGAGAATTATCAACAGCGGAATATATATTCTTTATTTACAGGTGCCGCTTAAAAGTAACTACAAATGAATAAAATAATAAAATGATAATAATTATCATAATAATAAGGCCATCTCAAGTTTCCAACCAGTTTCACTGTCAAATTCTAGTCAATGTTTAAAGGAAGATCTAATCTGAATCTGTGGTCTTCTACTTTTCTGATTCAATCGAGCAGGTATCAAAAACATAGTTTTAAACCCATGAACTTTTCAGTTTATGACATCACCTAATTCGAGGAATTCGATGTTATTGGATTTTGAAAGCTTCTTTTTTTTATTCTTCTTAAGAATACCTTGTACAAAGTTTGCCTATATGAACAAGTACAAAAGTCGATATGAAGAGGAACATAGAAATGCCAACTTCTTTTTGAAGAAACAAAACACCTACACTTAATATAACAAATGTGCTTTCATTTAAATACTTTTAAATTCAGATGAAATTTATCTTAAATGCAAGGATAACTCTGTGATATATCTTTACGGTACTGTGACAGGATGTTGAACCCTATGTAATATACTTATATTCTCACTATTCATTAGTCGCAATCTCATAAGCAGACGAATTATATTGCAGGTTTCAAAAGATAAGCACCAATCCTATAGTGGTTTGAAGGATTTCAATCCATTATTCTACCAAGTTTATTGTAACCGATGTTTAGACTCGTCGAAGCAATAACAGTATTAATTGTTGCGTATATTGAAATTATAACTAGCTGCAAAAGTAATTTATCGCCATTTGCATCTTAATGTAGAATTAGGATTGCCATTATAAGTCAAGACTAAGACGGATAAAATTATATAATAACTGCCAGCCTTGCTAAAGTAGATTATTTTGTTGTTGCTTGTACATATGATCTGGTAAACAACTGTGTACAGATAAACAAGATGCCATTTAAGTTTAATCCGTATTACGTCATTGCCGATATGCCATTAACTGTGTTGAGTATGGTTAAGTGCATTTAAAAATCTAATGATTGTCATGAAATTAACTCTCGTTATTGGAAAAAAATCTACCATAGACTATTTTAATGAAGTGATGGTCATTCTTGCTGAGTTTTTTTTATATGTAGAGATCTCCATTAAACAGTATCAATACATCAAAGTTCATCAACATTTTAATTATTGCTTTCCTTTTGAATATATGTCAGCAAGTTAAAATATGATTGTTAGTATTATAGATCTAATGGACCAAAACAAAAACACAGTTTCTGTACGAAAACGAATGACGTACACAGGAGATACCAGGATCTTTTTAACTGAATTACGTGGATCCTTTTTTTTAGTCTTTGATAACCAGATACACATAGTTATTATCTTCTTTTTACATCCGTCCAAATATAAATGAAAGTGTTGAGATTATCTTTTAACGTATCATAATAATTTCAAGTGTAAAAGTGTACACAAATCGAATCTTTGGATACTACTAAATAAAGGTATTCAGGCCTATGAAAGTACAATAAATCTTGATTTTTAAATCAGAATCCACATTAGACTCGCACCACTAGTAAAATGCTTCAGAAGTACGTCATCAACCGCTATAAAGATAGAGGTTAGAAGCTTAGGTTTGGAGGTCCATCAGTGTTAAGATAGAGGTTAATTGTTTTATAAGAAGCTTAGATTTGGAGGTCCATCAGTGTTAAGATAGAGGTTAATAGTTTTATAAGAAGCTTAGGTTTGGAGGTCCATCAGTTTAAGATAGAGGTTACTAGTTTTATAAGAAGCTTAGGTTTGGAGGTTCATCAGTGTTAAGATAGAAGTTAATAGTTTTATAAGAAGCTTAGGTTTGGAGGTTCATCAGTGTTAAGATAGGGGTTAATAGTTTTATAAGAAGCTTAGGTTTGGAGGTCCATTAGTGTTAAGATAGAGGTTAATAGTTTTATAAGAAGCTTAAGTTTGGAGGTCCACCAGTGTTAAGATAGAGGTTAATAGTTTTATAAGAAGCTTAGGTTTGGAGGTCCATCAGTGTTAAGATAGAGGTTAATAGTTTTATAGAAAGCTTAGGTTTGGAGGTCCATCAGTGTTAAGATAGAGGTTAATAGTTTTATAAGAAGCTTAGGTTTGGAGGTCCACCAGTGCTAAGATAGAGGTTAAAATAGTTTTATAAGAAGCTTAGGTTTGGAGGTCTATCAGTGTCACCAATGACAGAGAGAGGAAGGGTCATTTTTTTCTGAAAAAGTTTCACTCGCGAGGTCATAATCTGAAAGTTGTTATTCGAATATTAAAGAGTCTATATAATATTATCACATGTTATCAACAGTTAACATATTTCAAATATATAAAAGGAAATGTTTTCAGCGCAACAAACTGCTGTTGAAGACGGTATTTTTACATATATTTTATAACAATTTTACATCGAAGGACGTCTCATACCAAAATGAATTAATTTGTATTCAAAGAACAATTTATAGCTCTGCTTCACACATAATTTTGGTTTTGGTTAAGTATATCCTTCAGATACATGTTTGGGTTAAATACTCAAAATTTGCTAAAATATGTCAAAATTGCAGTTTTGAAAAAATATATCCTCCAGAACTAGAAATTAAAGAAACAACAGACACCGCTTCCTCCGCCTCATTTTTAGACTTATACCTCGAATTTGACACTAGTGGTCATCTCAGTACCAGAATCTATGACAAACGAGACGATTTTGAAATTATCAATTTCCCCACCTTAGTAGCAATATACGAACTTCACCTGCATATGAGATATACGTTTCCCAACTCATTCGGTATTCAAGGGCTTGCAGCTTCTAATCTGACTTTATAAAACATCACCAGTGTCTGCGCAGAAAGTTGATGAACCAGGGTTATGTCAAAGAACGTCTCGTTCTTTTTCTAAAAAAAGTTCATCGGAAGATACCAAGACCTTTTTGATAAATATTCCGTATCAACTTCACAAATAATACATGATGGTCTTGAAGTATAGCTTATAGGTACTTATGTTGTTTATCATCTTAATTACGTGTTATAGTCTTCTTTTATTTGTCTTTGTGAATCATTAACCTTTACTGTTTAGTCCATTTTTGGTAATATTCTTTTGGCGTGGCTCGGTTCTCAGTATACATCCCGCCATTTTGTTATTGTGCTACGGTCATTTTTTTGTATTCTTGTCTTTCATTTTGCTTATGAGCTTTGTCGATATGCCATTTTGTTTGTCTATGTTGACATATTTGTTTGTTTTTATAGTGATTAAGATTATAACACGATGTTGACTGCTGTACCCCAAGTTTTGACATTTTTACCTATTATGTCTGTTTGTTTTATTCACGCATCGTTGTCTATATAATGGAATTTTATGCGACTGTCATACAAGTGAGAGGCTTAGCTAGCTAAAAAACAGGTTTAATCCACCATTTTCTACATAAGGAAATGCCTGTACCAAGTCAGGAATATGACAGTTGTTTTC